CATATGTTTCACATAGTATAGCCCAACAAGTTACTTATAGCAGTTTAAATACGAGCAATCAGTTTTTGGCAAATACCGGAAATCAGTTTTTGGCAGACAATCACTTTTTGGCACAACACCGGCGGCCGCCTCGGGTCTCTTTTCCTTCTGCCTCCCTTTTCCTTCATCCACCTGATGGCCTCCACCACTTGCTAATGTTACTGAATCTTTGGAAGCTCCGCGATAGCCACCACACGAAGTAACGAGTAACGACCCTATCTAAATCCCAGTAACGAGTAACGCGTTCCTGATTTTGGCATAATAACTAGTTACCGTGCTCGTTACCACAATAATAACGTAGTTACTGTAACGCGTTACTTAATAACGCGTTAGTCCCAACACTGGTTATCTTTAAAAACAAAAATGTTTTTTAATCCCTTTTTCATTTTAGGTCTTAAAAGAAATGCAAATTTAATCTCTCTGTATCCATCTTCTTTTTCTCTGGCTTGTTATGTGATTGTTGTGTAGCATGTCTTGTTGATAACCAGTGAGTCACCCTTTTCTAACACTTTAAACTGCTCATGCCACACAGATGGGCTATGGGAGAATGATGAGAGGTAGAGAGGGGGTGAAAGTGGAGGGTTTCATTGTTGTGGCGAGTATCTGGTACATTTGCCACATTCTCCCACCAGCTCTTGTTGGAGAGCGCAACGCCTGCTCCCAGCCATCGCTGTCACTCTCTATCAAGGCAACAAGTCAGCATGCCTGACCTCCCCCCACCACTCGACCATTACCGCCACCACCCTGACCTATGTCTGACTATAACCAGCATCTAGGGTGGGAGAGTTGACTGTATTTAACCCCAATGAGCGCCTGGCAGACACGAAACACTTTCACCAATTCATTTGGCTTACTCTCATCATTGATGTACTCTATCCAGTCGAAGGAGTTTTTTGTGATGTTCTCCATGAATGTGATGTTCTCCACCAATGTGATGTTCTCCACCAATGTGTTGTTGCTTTCATGTGTGTTGTTCAAAGTTGTGTTGCTGCCCAAAGGAATGCGCACGCACTTCTGCCTCAGGTTGCCCATGAAGAGCTGGAGGCCGATGAGGGCAAAGACACTGAGACAGAACACGGTGAGGATCATCACATCTGACAGCTTTTTCACTGACTGGATCAGTGCACCAACAATAGTCTTCAAACCTAAATGGGAGAGAAGGCAAGGGGGTACGGGAGTAGGAGTGGGACATCGCAGAATGATTAACGCCTGCTAATTGCAGCCACTAGCTGGTAAAGAAGCTAATAACAGCTTACAGGAGAAAGCAGCCAAAATGATCTGCAGTGGAGCTTCCTGTATGAACTACTTGCAGTCATACTGGAACCAAGCTGACACAGACCACTGCTGATCATGAATAAACCCTTAGAGAAATTTATGTATTTCATGTCCATTACAGTGCTATGGTTTTGGGGTCTCTGGGAAAATGATCATTAATAAGTCATTGCTTTTATTTTTAACAGACTGTCACTGAAACTATTCAAGTGAGCTCTTTTTTTGACAGTGCATAGTACTGTGGATGGGATCATTGAAAACCTGCTGCTGTATGCAGTCAGTGGAGTGCAGTATAAATTGGAGTGTGACTTATCCTCTGAGACACAGAACTGGTCTCATGAATTTCTTAGACATCTGGTTTGTAAGGCATAAAGAAAATGGGCCACCACATACAGGGAAGACTGCACCCCAGCCTTTTTATGTTGAGGAGCTACAGTTTTGTTTATGTGCTTCAGAGATGAATTATTTCTGCATGTAACCTTTGAACATTTTGTTTGTGCATGGTGGAATCAAGTCGTATTATTTATTTTCTTGATGAAAATTATATTATATAGACTGGAAGATGTTAGCAATGTTTAGCAAACCCACACTAGATTGATAAACTTGGTAGAACATCAAGTTTGATGAATAAAGACCGTATGATGATAACACAAACCCCTTGGCTCAGTTCCAAAATTCTTCTGCTACAACAAACCTAGGCTTTCGTTGGAACACCAAACACTTTATCTGGCACAATTAACCTCCAACTTTTCTATTTATGTTTTTGACCCTGATGGCTGATATGTTTTTTGATATCTATATATCGCCAGGTTAGCTGGCATGACTGTTAAAGCCTGGTATTTATCCTTAACCTTAACTGAGAATGATATCTGCTCATCTGACTCTCACCAAGAAAATGAGAACGTTAAATCTCTTAACAAAGTAAATTCCCATAACAGAGTGGTATTACATAGAAGACTAATGAGATATTTACATCTCCGTTCTTTAAACAACCTTTTTTTTTTCACAGAACCGTCTTTTTTATTACCCTTTATCACAAAATGTGTTCCAGTTCCTGAAAAATACCACCATGCACCAGCACTGCTTGCACTGTCACAAAAGAATGAGCTCACTGTGTTTAACTTGAGTCTGAATGTAGCTATGAGAGCTGCAAAAAGTAATAGAAAGGGGAAATAGATGATGGTCTTTATCCAAAGAGTCAGTGCCAGTTTTTGGCACATAAACCGGTTCACATAAACCGTTCAACAACAACAACAACATTAAAACCATTTATCTAAGACTGTGCAGGGCACGACATGGGACCTCCAGGAGAGCCAGTCTGGCTCTGTGGATGTGTGGCTTGCTCCAGCACATTTAACAGATGTTTGATGGATTAGAATCTGGAAGCCAAGTCAACTCCTTGGGCTCCACATTGTCTTTTTAAGGAATGGCAGGACACATTGGGCCTCATTTTCTAATATTTGCCCTGACCCCCTAAAAAGAAGATTTATGACATGTGTGCTTGTCCTGCCTGCATGGAGTCAAAGTGGAAATGAAAAAAGAATAACATACTATAAGATAAAGAAGAAAACAGGCAGAGGGTATGGAGCATGTGATCTGTCAGGCCAAGACAAGTAACTCACTGCAATGAAAAAAAAAACCCTTCCTATTCTTCAGCATTTCTGGGATAGTGCCAAGAAGTGACGACACCCAAAATACTTTATGATATGATAAAACGAGATGCAGAATACGAATATGCTTGGATTTGAAGGCTAAAGCCTACAGCTTTCTGTTAGTATTTTGATTTTTGTATATGCAATTTACTTTATTGCCGATTATGATGTTTTGGTAAAGTGGAAATAACAGCCAAAAGGCATCATAATTATTTTAATTATTTATAATTAAAATAATTATTAGTTTTATAATTATAATTTATAATTTATTAGTAGCAGTATTTATTTTAAATACTTGTGTTTAAATTTCCTAAAGGGATAGTTCATAATTATTTAATTTTTCCATAAAGAAATGACAAATGTAGGGACAAACTATTGAGAAATCCCTGACTTGTGCATTAAACATTCATATACACAAATGAGGGCCATTGTCCTGCTTGGGGAGACTGCTGTTGCCATGACAATGATCAGCTAATGTTATCGTCTGTACCTGTCCTGGGTTCTATTGTTGTTGTTGATTAGCATATGAACGTTTTGTTAGTTTGCGCTGTGAATTGCGTTAGTGTTAAGAATGCCGTTACCCAACCACCACTCACCATATCACAATTTCTCACAATTTCAAACACACAACACTGAACAAGACATGCGCAGGAAAAACAAGGTAAGGAGGAACCCTACACACGTAAGTGCTTACCACCAGAAAATCGGCTTTTGCAATGTCTCATGCAAAAAGGAAAATGAAATAGTGCACAGAAATCTACTCTTACGGCTCCCAAGGCAAGAATAGATTCCAACCAAAAAGAATTCTGCCTTAAAGGATGTATCTAAAAGCTAAGAATCGTGTCAATCTGTGCAGATTGGAGCCAGATTCCAGCTTTTACTGGCCTTGGGACGAAGGCAGCACGAGGGACGGCTTAGCTACAGTGAGATGAGCTTGGGGGAGGGGGGGGTTGGATGTTAGCGCCAGTTAGCCATTAGCATTTCCCTAACGCCATGGGCCTTGATGGCTCTCTCACCTGGGATGACTGATATAGTTTTCAGTGCTCGCAGAACCCTGAAGGTTCGCAGTGCTGAGACATTGCCCATGTCCACAAACTCTGTGACATATCTGTAAGGGAAAGGAGGGGGCAGACGGGAAGGAGGGGGTGGGCGGGGATGTGGGGCATTTCAGGAAAGGTGTGGCACAAACACACATGCGCACACACACACACACACACACGCACACACACACACATGAGGTGTGACAAGACAAAAAGAGGGTCGTAGGATGGGAAGAGGGGAGAGGAGGGAACGACAAAAAGTCACACACAGGACAAAAGGGAGGAGTGCTGGCAGCAGGCGCGGCCTTACCTGGTATTACTGAGATAGTTTTCAAAGCTCGCAAAACTCTGAATGTGCGCAGAGCTGAAACATTGCCTAGGTTTACAAACTCTGTTATATACCTGCAGGATTAAATGCACAGTTACTACACAGCAAAGAACAGGCAAACCCAGTGAGAAACAAAACTGCCCCTCAGACAACCATTACCAACTACAGACCTCTCTCAGACACAATAAGATGATAGTACTATTACATTACGTGCTCAGCGTGTAACAAATACTACGTCACACACACACACACACACAAAAAAAAAATAGCACTGTAATGCCGAAGGCTGCCTTTTATAGTTGTAAGGGAGATAGCAGAAGTCATTGAGGCATGAGACTAATATGGGCCGAGATACACAGTGCTTTGGGGCCTCACATCCATTATAACAGAGCAGAGTTAAGATTCTTGGCCACGATTTTAAAGCGTACATGAATAAGCTGCAGATTGCTGCAGTGCTCTCCATTTGATCTGTTCTTTTTCTCACATTCAGTGTGCCTTATTAGGCTGCTGGGCTAATTAAAAGCATTTGGCCTTGTAATCTACGCCATATCATGTTAAGCTGATCCTAACTGTGTTTGTCATAATACTTACGCCATGAGGATAACACTGAAGTCCAGCCAGTTCCACGGGTCTCGCAAGAAAGTGAACTTCCCCACACAGAAGCCCCTGGCCAGGATCTTTATAAGGGACTCAAAGGTGTAAATCCCCGTAAATGTGTACCTGGAAAAGAAGGTGAAATGAGTTTTTCTGAGCATAAGAGGTCCTTATAACAGCTCTACTTGCCCTCTGACTGTGGATTTAACAAAATCTGCTTACTTTTCGAAAAAACCCATTATTAATCTAATCAGGCACTAAATAGTGTCTGTTTTGTATTATTTATATGTAGATTCTTAGATGGAGTTTCTATACCTAGCAGACTGGAGTAGGGTTGGGTCTGGCACATACTCGTATTTAAGAGGGAATTTTAAAACCTCGATAACAATAGAATCTTATGAATCACAAATTAAGTAATTATCAGGACCGAGCGCCAGGCAAAAATAGTCCTGATTTGAAGAGTGTTGTCTCCGTGTGTCCAAAATTAACTGAATAGGGACAGCGAGAAATTCAAAAATAAACAACTGGTAACTTACTCTACATTCTTGGCCCAATCTGGGGGATTACTGAGGGTCATGAAAGCACAGTTGGTCAGGATCGTGAACATGATCAATATGCTGAACATCGTGGAAACAAAGTCAAGGACAATGCAGTATTTGGGCACTTGAAGCATATATCATTCTGTTTGGTACATACAACAAGCTCTGACAGTTAAACAGCTGAAACTGATATTTCCTCATCCATCGCTGTCATAGTACACAGTACTATATCTTTTCTTCGACAGCTAAGCTGCTGTAAGGACTAAAAAAAAGTCTACTTAAAAAGTCTGAGCCAATCATGATATTTAGTGTTCATCAGCAGCCCATTTAAATCCCTCTTTTGTCTGATAAACCCTTTAATCCAAATCAAGCTGCATCTGTAGCAAACTCTAAAAGGATATGAGTGCACTAAAACTTTAATAGCTATCCTCCGCAGAGGATTGAAGGGACTTAAGATGTACAAAGCAGGAGTGGCATTGAAACGGAAGATTGCCTTCCCACGATTCAATACTATGAAGGTCTGAAAGAGAGACAAAAGAAATCTGGTTAATATCTGTGTCATACAAAAACCTCATTCTTTTTCAAAAGACCTAAGAGACCCCTGTGCATGTGTGATTGGTTATAACGGTAATTAGGACCGTGTTAGGCTATGTCCAGCTGGATGAGTCCACCGCAGGCAGGACATGTCTGGCACCACAGTCCTACTGGCACAGCAGCTCAGATTAGCATTTAGCACCTCTGTTGGCCCAGGCTTTAAAAGACTCTGGCTTGACTAACCACATTAATGCTGCACTATGGTTTACAGTTCAGTCTGTCCATGTGCTAAATGTGCTACAGTTTGATAATATTGCGTGATTTAAAAACAAACCCTGTTCGTCTGAGCCACAGATTCAATGCAACCTGCCTTCAGAAGAAAACCTGAAAAACCTTGGCGGGATTTTAGACATGTGGGAGGAAACTCTGCCCAGTCGTTCACTTACAATAGTTTGTTCAGAACATCATGAAATTAACCTCAAGCTTTTATGAACTGCAAAGCTTGAACTAGAAAATGTAGACCTGTAATGTATCAAAATTCAGTGCATGAGTCATACTGTAATTGAAAGCTAAATTGGTGTACTTAATGATACTTTGAGGCCTGCAAAGCTAAGAAATTGTGTTAGAGTTATCCACGGATGTCCATTTGGATGTTATTCTTTTACAGCGGAACGTGAAGCGATGACATTAATAACACACCTTCTGACTGCTATAGTAGGGGTCGATGTCCTCCAGAGGAGTGGACACCAGGCCGGGAGGGATGTCCCCATAAATGAAGGGGAGAGATTTCCCCGCCTCCACATCGCTGTTGGGCTTGGGCCCATTTTCATCGTCGCTGTCGCTGCGGCGCTCCACCCGTGGTCTCTGGGCCTCCTCCTCGGCGATGCGCCTTTCGATGGCGGCCAGCGACTCGGGGACGAAGGGGCGGAAGCTGTCAGGTCCGGGCGGTATAAGCAGCTGTGCCATCTTGTCATCCTGCTCCTTCAGAGGGAAGCGAAGTGCTCAGCTGGGATAGGTAGCTGCAGGGGGAAAGGCAAGGAGAAATGAACCAAGACCTAAAAAAAGCACCAGTGGGAGGAGTGAAGTCATCTACCTGGGACATGTTATAATGTAGTACGAACAGGTGGAACTGCTACCTGTGTAAATGATTTTAATGAAGTGTGAAGCTGGACCATGTGACATTTCTGGATTTATCACTGACAGTTTGCAACTAGAATGTGAGAAGGGCAAAGCATTATGAGCACAAAATGCTTTCCCCCCCAAATACTGTTGTGATTATTAGCAGAAGAGAAAACACTAATGACACACAGCATCTCAAAAAAAAATATTAGTTCCTCTATTTTTAATATTTACTAAATATGACCAGCTATACTTTGCTAAAAGAAGAAGGATTTAAAGTAGGTCATTTCTTTCTGTAGGGAGTAATTTAATTAGCAACAGACAACATCCTGATCCCTTCGATGAGTTCAGACCGAATACAAGTCAAATTATAGCATTTCCTCATGTACGTCACCTGAGCAGACTGCCAACTTATATTATTTAATACACATAGATGCAGAACTGTTGGCTGCTGGTTACTGGAACGCCATATCAAAGCAGCTTTTGTGGAGGCAGATGTTTATACCTTCATACTAGTAAATATAAAAGCATAACTCGTTGTACGTGTGATATGGAAGACTTGGGTTAATCTGGGTTTTCATGCGGAAATATCTTATTTTGATTATAACAATAATAGCTATATAATATCATCTTTAAAGGGAGAAAAATGATTTTTTGATCTCTGCTGAATGTGTAAGTCTGGAATGAACAGTCACTATTTTTATGGCCACTAGAATTCTGGCTCTTACAGGTTGCAATCTGTGTACCACAGCCAATGTCTCAGTTAACCAATCGCAGATACTCCTGATCTCAACGCACTGTTCCACAGAACCAGTTTCTTCCATTCCAACTGCTCCACCACCACGGATGAGACCAAAAAACAGGGACAAGATTGCAAACCTGCAAATGGCTGGAATTGGGACCATCAGCAAGAAGTTTGGTGACAAGGGGCGAGCTGTTGGAGTGATTATTTTTCAGAAATGGAAGACATATAAAATGACTACCAGTTACCCTTGATCTGGAGCTCCATGCAAAAATCTTGGCTCATGTGGTGATGATGATTATGAGAAAGGTGAAGGATCAGGCCAAAATAGGATGAGTTCATTAGTAATCTAAAGGTCTTCTTGGTTAGACCGCAGCCACCTAGGAGACCCTGTTTTTTCATGTCTCTTTTGTGCATCTAGTCTTGGTTAATAAAGTAGGTCTAAGGTAAAAGCTGTGCCATGTGCTGAACAGTTCTTATGCTACCAAGCTAACTGATAAACTGCCATCACAGGGTTTACAGCGCTGATATCAGAGGGCAGTGAGCCCATTTTCACATATGACTACATTACAGTCGTAGCAAAACCAGTTTTGGCCAGAGACGTTAACAGTTCAACTATTGTTGCTAGTTGTTTACATTTCTGTAAATGTTTGCACTAGTGAAAAGATAGCTGTAGACCGGTGGCATATAAAGTAAATGGAAAGCTGGTGCAAATTCAGGCATCAGTTGAAAAGTCTGCAGAGAAATAAAAGGCAGACCTTTCCCTAAAACATCCACTCTTATTATATATTTCACATCTCTATCACTTTATCATGCTGTTAGAATGATAGCCAATTTAGACATTTGCTAAAGTTTTACAGAGATTTCTTCTTCTTTTTATTATTATTATTGTTGTTGTTTTATTAACTCATTCACTGCCATTGACGTCTATAGCCGTCAATTGCAGTGAATGAGTCAATGGGTTTAACTCATTCAATGCCAATGGCTGGCAGTAAATGAGTTAATTCCATAGAAGATCCTGCAGAAAGGAATCACGTTGATGTGATTCATTCAGTTCAGACTTAGCTGTGTTTAAAGTGTTAGGAAAATGCAGCAGGTCTAACCCAAAGGATAGTCTGCCATTGTTCCGCCAAAAAAAACCCCACTCTTATTCAGACATGTTCGATTACCATCACAATTAGGCACATATGACTATCATATTTTGACCATGCAATCACTATTATGCTTCTTATATGGTGACATGAAACCAGTTTGCAAAGATTTGGAAGCATTTGAAAGGCTGGGAGAGAAAACGTATGAAAAGAGCACATTTCACATGCAAATGGTCCTGAGTGACTAATACCAAATTGAGTGCCTCATTGTATAACACAATAGTGTGGCACTTGCAGTTTTTATAACCAGTGAATAACAAACAGGAATCATCTCACAATCATCACATGGAAAATAATAAGTATGATCTGGTTATAAACCATCAATACACTTTGAGACAGAGGCAAAAAAAAAAAAACAACTGTCTCTGACTACAAGGTAAACTATTTAAGCAAAGCAGGTCCCAGTCTTCACTGAGGCAGTCAAAAGTGGCACTGAAGTCAGTGACATGCCTTCAGCTGATTCACTGGGACACAAAAGTAGCCAGCAGCAACAGAGGTGGACAGCAAAAGGAACAAAAAAAAAAAGGAAAAAAAAAAAGAGTGTCACTGAAGAGAATATTGGTCTACTTTTTTTAATGCTGCATTCTGCCATGTGGAGAAAGCAGCATCTGCAGAATGAGAGGAGCCACTGTCCTTTTACTGCTAATTAATTGGCGGACAGCCTCAAATTAGAAAAAAAAAAAAAGCCTGTTTTTCCAGTGACTTTCAGCAGAAACAAATGAAGCAGGCATTAATTACAGGCTTTTTATTACTTCCTCCCTCAATCAGCCACACTACCCGATTCCTCCTGCCAACCATCTACTGTACCACCCTTCACACCCAGAGGCCCACCCTGTTCCCACAGGATGGAAGGGAAGAAACACAAACAAGATTTTCTCCCCTGCCAAAAAAACTAAAAAAAAACCTTGATGAGCCATTATCAGCTGGTTCACGGTGCCGCCCAGTCGCTGCAGTCTCACAGGTGGGTCCTGTTCCCTGTGGGATCTTATACTGCCACAGAAAACAGGAACCTCCCCTCTGGCAACCTCAAAAGTGAGGTCTCCTTGAATCATCAGCTTTTCTTCCTTTTCGAAATGGAAATGGAGGACCTGAAACTGCCACACTTGGCTGCCATCTAATTTGCCTTCCTTTTTAAAAGGAGGTAAAAGTATAAAAATGTTTTATTTTTTTTATTTTTATACTTAGATCTTAAAAACAGGGGAAAGTCTGGAATGCAGAGTCATCCACTAAGAGTACAGTGACTAAGCCAATGATGTCGGCAAATATGAGTTTACCAGATTTAGACTTTATACTCATGCCTATCAAACCAGAGCTAACCTAAATCACAACCAATATGTAAATCCAAACTATTCCCGATAACAAACCAATACAGGGTTATTTGCTTTCTTTATTAGAGTTAGAAAGGTTAGATAGGAAGACTGACGCCACTGTGGTGTCTAAATCTGAAGCATTTGCTTTATTTATTTATTCTTCCCCCAAAGCTAAAGGAATTTATACTATATAACCGCTGTCAACTTTCATGCCATACTCAGATCTGGTACGAGCTGATTGTTCCCTATTTGAAAGCTACCTTCTATTACTATGGAATTTAAACCTTATTTTAAACCAGTGACAGCTTTAAATTACGATCACAAGCCTTTTCAACTAATCATATAGACATTATATTTTCTTATGGTAAGACATTAATAAAAACAAAAGAGACAGTGGTTCAAACTCCACAGTTTACTGGAAAGGAGAATTAGAGAACCCCAGAGAACACACACACTTCCCATAAAACACATCTGCTTGTGTCCCAAAAACTGCCTCGGGATCCAGTGTTGTGACATGTGGCCTGACAGCTTGTCTAGCATGAGATGCTGGGTGGTGGGTTGTTAGCTGTTCTGCCTTACCAACCCCACAGCCAAAACATCCACACCCACTTTTGAACTCTGTTATCAGTGTGGTCATCCCTGGACTCACCGACAGAAACCGAAAACATATCATGTATACATTTCTGACAGTGATCTGATTCACATGCAGAAAACTCTCTTTTGTGCAGTATTACAGAGTCTCATCTAGGTGTGTCATGCAATTCAAAAAAAGAGCCTGTAAAGGAGATTTTTAAAGGGTTAGTATTGGACACTCATTGCTGTGGGCAAAAATGCTCTTTACATTTGAGGATTTAGTTCCTCCTGTATCAGCCAGAATGTCTATCAAAGCCTGAATGACATAGGTGTGCCAGCACTGCTTTAGGACAGCTTGGGAAAATGACTGAACCTGTCCTTTAAGGTGCCTTTCAATGGCTCCCCTGAATGCCCTTGAGCAAATATGTTAAGTCTCCCCCCATCAAGAGCAGACAGTTCACTGTCCATGGTGCTAAACGCTAGAGCAGCTGCCTTAGAAAACAAATAAGTGGAAACCTGCCTGAATGTATCAGATATTTTGAAAGCAGCATACAGCTTCTGTACAGACAAATAAACCCACCTGCACTGCTCAAATAGAATGATTTTAGCTGATTTGGCGTCAAAAGGTCCTGTTGTCCATGGTGTTTAAAGAAGAAGAAAAAAAACGACTACACGAGAAAACACTGAGATTTTTTTTTTTTACATGATAACTATATGAACACACAACGGCTCCCCTACTGCGTGTTTATCTGGACTTCATAGCCCTTTGAAAATGCTCTTAACCGTCTGTGATTGGCCAGATAGGTGAGATACGTGTATGCTATTTTGCGTATTCATTTTTAACCCACTAATGGCGACTGGTAGAGAGACTGGCATTGGTTGGAAGTGGCTTGCGAAGCTTATTAGAAACCAGAAAAAAAAGAGACGGCGGGTGTCAGGCAGTACCTTAATTGTTTCAAAACGAGAAGAGGGGGCCGCGGCAGTCGTCGCCATATTGATGATAACCTCTAGCTCTCCGGAAAAAAACGACACTTTGAGTTTTATATTTCGAGTGAGCCGCGGCCATTATGTCCTCACTCCCTCCAGATACGCCACCAGCAGCACAATTCCCAGGAGCCGGGAAAATAAATAAATATATAAATAAATAAATAAATAAATCTTAACACACACAGATACGGTAAGCGACCGACCGAGGTTGACGTGTATAATTGTTCCTGCCACCCGACCAACACCCCTACAGGTAAAGTCCGGGGCCCACCTGAGGGTCGAAGCCAAACAGGTATCACTTAAAGTCGTTAATCAGATATTTTTATCTCTTGCTCGCTCCTTTTCACATCCACAATTATCCACTGAATGAGTCTGGGCGTGTCCTTGGCAGATGTGTGTCTGCTCCTTGTAATCAATCCCTGACACTGACAGTTTCTGGTGTACCAAAAATAAATACGTCGGCGTTATTGTCGGTTGACACCTCAGTTGCTGGCTTACCTCAATGAAACCTCTTTAAATGCAGTCACTCCTGTCAGGAGTAAGCAACATTTTCACACTGAAGGGGCCTGTAAATAAGAGGGCTAGTCCCTCCCAGCACGTCGGTGAGGATGCTAATATTTGAAGCCCGTGTTTGTCACGACGTGAAGGTTATCTGTCATGTGTTATTCATTTTTCTTTCAACATTTGTTTGGAAATGGAAGTAAAATACACAACTTAAGCTCAAGACAAATATAAATAGTATATTTGGTGAAGACTGCATGTCTGCGTAATTAAAACAATCTTGAAGAAAGGGAATATATGTACACACACACACACACACACACACACACATATATATATATATATATCAGCAACACGGGCTTTTAATATCTATCTATCACCCGGGCAATTAGTGGAGGAATATCAAAACTGGAATATAAAACATTAATGTTGATGCCACAGACTGCTCAACACAAGAGTTCAGAAAAGTCTTATTGCCTCGGACAAGAAACATCTAAAATGATGGGGGACCCTTCTCAAAAGATGTGAACACTCACCACCATTACGGTGCCCAGCAGGTAAGGACCCTGAAGGTAGATCCCATATTCCTCAGAATAATCCCTTCTTCCAGCGGAGAATCACTCAGTTTAAGATTTGACCGCTTTCCTCTTCCTATTGACAAATTCCGGTCGATGCTTAATAGCTTATTATTTAATAAGGACTCGTCTGATTTCTCCCTTTTTTCTATCCGCCCTTGTTGGCCATGGAGGAATCAATCCGCGCTTCCGGTTGGTTAGACATCACAGACTGGGAATGGATGTACTCAAAGCTGTGACTGCCGCAAGATGGCCTGAGCGTACACTTCTAGAAAATACAAGTGAAAGAGAGAGCCAGCAACCTGTTGTCATCCACAAACGTTAAGAATTTGAAATAGAGATTCAGAATGTAAAAGCAACGCTTTATATTTAAGTTCGTACTATTTTAATTTTCCCGTTTTTTTAAAGTATGGGTCTTTTGGATTGTTATTTTTCATAAAGCTATATCGACATATTACAGTTATTTGGCTGCAAAAAAAATAAAATAAAACATAACAAATGCTCTGTGACTTTGTTTCTATCTTTTTCGGCAGTGGTTACACGTTTTTAATTTGGCTTCAATTCTATTGTCCACATTAGTTAAAATGTGCTTTTACTGCTTGTAATGCGCAGGTTTTGCTCACGTTCAGGTTGTTGTCTCGCTATATAAAAGGTAAATATTTATAGATTGCTGATAATTTGGTGAAGACGGAGCGGAGATTAGGTTTTTCAGACATGTGCGTGCTCACGTGCAGACCTGTACACCCCTGTGTGTTTTTCTTGTAGATTTATGACACCTGGTGGACAGACTGTGTAATTACATTGAAGTTCGATTATGTAACGCCTACATTATGGAAAGTTTGCTCTCCTCTGTTGTTGGAATAAAATGGAGCCCTTGTGAAACGAGCGTAATCACAGTATGGAGTAAGCTGTCACCTTCACAACAGGAAATACAGCCACCATTATAATTAAGTTTTAGGTGGCATGAAAGTTGCATAATCATAGCTGAGTGAACTGACAGGTGGACTCCATTTGGGAAATGAAAAAGAGTCACTCCTCACAGTCACTATGAGCAGAAGTGGACACACCTTTGAGCTCAGTGTAGCATGCAGGGAGTTTCACTTCACAATGAGAACACAGTTAACGGCTGCTCTAAACACATTTTAACAATCAGGTTAAGTTGCTTTTTAGTATGTGGAAATTTATTGTATTTGTAATGTCACGTTTGTTTTCTGTTAATAAAATTAAGAGTAGACTATCCATCCATCCTCTTCCACTTATCCTTATCAGGGTCGCCGGGGCAGGGGCTGGAGCCTTAACCAGCTACCACAGGGAGAAGGGGAAGGGTACACCCTGGACAGGTTGCCAATCTGATACAGAGATCGCAGATGTTGTTAAATCGGTTTGCAAACTTGATGTAAATATTCTTCTCCCTATATTTTGTGCCTTGAGGAACAAACTCCCAGAAATTTTCAACAGAATCACAAAATTCTCTGAGTTGCGATCTCTTACGTGCAATCTTTCTGCTGTGCTCTATGTGTAAATACTGTCAGTACAATGGAGGAACACCTTAGTAAAGCTAGCCCCAAGTACAGTTAATAAATCATCTCAGAGCAAAGAAAACAGAACCAGCAGCAGCTTGCCTCACATGCTGGTATCCTGTCACTTTCCTTGTCAAAGACTGGAGGTTTATCCACAATGTGCAGGCGAGGACAACAAGGACACGTCGCTGGCCTCACAGCCTGACAAGCTCCGGCCATTGTTAACGGAAAGGGACATAAATGTTGCTGTTATTGTAGCAAATCAATTACAGCAACAACAGTCAGTTGTGAGCATAAGACAGCAGCAACATTGGTGAAAACAGGCTTTATGTCACAATGCTGGTTGAGATAAAAGATAGATTTCTCTTTGGTAAGTTTTAATCAATATTAATTTTTAGATTTGACCAGGCAAGCACTGCTTGCCTTGCTTGTCCTGACAGAATGCCGCTGAGTCAAACCAGCACGACTTGAAATATTTATAGCTCAGCTGCAAAATAGCTAATATGCAATGTAAATGCAAATGTAAATAAACAAGCTCATAACATTTCATAACAGAACTAGAATAATGTTAGATTCAACAGAGTTTATGCATATTTATAAGTACAGACAAATAACAATTTGTGAAAAATGAGTACAAAGGGCAAAGGAGTACAAAGCACAGTATGGTTTCAGGGCAGGCTAGCCACTACCACATGAGCATACAGGCTACAGTCAGATCCAACCCTCACTGACGAGGTCAGGTTTTACACATCAAAATGAGAGCAGTCAAAAAAACATGTACCATTTTGAAGCCATTCCCATCCAGATGAAAATATATTTGCATGAGAAAACAGATCTGGGAAGTTGTGGTTTTTGATATTGCTGGCAAGCTAGTATATTTATAACTTAATGTCCTATTATAATTACATTTAATTGTGGCTAACTTAAAACTTAAAAGAAAAATTTCTTACCTAGAAAAAACTGATCAAATGGCTCCTTAAAGTGTAATTTAGACACAATGCCAAGGAGGAACACCACCAGCAATAATCTGAAAGACGCAACTGTTGCTGCCTATCGATTCTGGGAAGTGAAATGTATTTCAAAACAATTAGAATTCCATCGTTCTATGGTTAGAAACATTTTTCACAAGTGCAAGACATTCAAAATCAAACTGTGCAATGCTCAGACTCTACAGCCCACAGACTGCATAAATGTTGCAAGGAAAAGGCCTTGGAACATTGTAGCACAGCTTATGATTATAAAGTTGCAGCTGAAAAAAGCACAAGACTTTGGGGGTAATGTCCTTTGAACAGATGAAACCAAAGTAGAGATGTGTGGTAACAATGCACAGCACCATGGTTGGTTAAAACTAAACAGAGAGCATAACATCATTAACACCTCACATCAGCTCTCAAACATGATGTTGGAGGGGTGACGGTTTGGGCTTCTTTTGCAGGCACAGGACCTCAGATCCTTGTTGCCATTGAATTCACCTTGAAATCCTGTGTATACCAAAGTACCAGAGTGATTGTAGGGTCATTGAATATTGCTGCTACATGGCACAAGCCTTTGAATAAAACTCCACTGACAGTCAGTGATGTAATCAAGACAAGTCATGCAAACAATCTTAACTGAGATAATGAGATTAGAGAAGATTGTTTAAAAAAGTTAAGCTTTCAAAGCATTGAATTGAATAAATAATCTAAAATACTGCAGGGACACATAAGAAGCGCCAAACAATGTTTCCAAAGTTGGGTTCAAATATGTCCTCCTTGGCAGCTCTCTGCGACTGTGCCGTGTTTCATTAGTGGCACAGTGAGGAATTTGGGAACCTTGTTCAGACTGTGGGTTGTCATAATTAGGTTGTAGCCTGTCACTTTGTTCAAAGGACAGGATCCCATTTGGCTTTGTCGCTTTGTGTAAAGCTCCAAATTAGCCCTCTCTCTTTGCTTGTCTTCCTGTTGGACATTTGGGAAAAGTCTAACAGGAAAACAAAAACACTTTTTTGTGTGCCCACACAGTGTGTTTTCAAGATGAATAGAGAATACAGACTGAATAGCACACATCATTTACACTGCTTGATTAAAGGCTTCCCAGGTTTACATAAATTTATGCAAGAATAGCATTTACATAAGCCTACCAACAAATAGAGGATAACATATTGTTGTCTGCATCATCACCTTTTTTCTTACACATAACTATACCAGGGTTAACAGATTTGCTGACATGAACATGAAGTGAAAGCATTTAGTGTAAGGCAACAAGATGGAAACAATGTGACACCTTCTACCTGTTTATCTCACAGTGGAGCTAAAGCTTTGAGGCAAAGTGCATATGTACACATGACATGGCCTTCTTCCATTTCACAACATGCTAAAAGATGAAACAGAGTGACGTGATTAAACATTCTTTCTATTCATCTGTTAGTCATTAACCTAGACAGTCACATGGTGATCTGTTTACTGCAGTCAGCTCCTGTAGCCCACTGAGTCTCCACTGACAGACTGGTGATGAGATTACAAGATTACAGTCGGTGTGGACATGTGTTCCCTGTTCTTAATTTGATTAAAACTCCCACTTAACAGCCTGTTCCTGCTCACCTACTGTATAAAGATGAATAAAGTGCTCTGTGGGATGATGCAGGAGCCTGGCTTGAGTTTCAGTTATTCATTATTGTCTTATAAACATCCTCTGTAAGGAAGGCTTGACTAATCAAATATTATTTAGAAAAAAGAAAATCCAAGAATCCTTCCGTAAGTTAAAGCGATGGTTTATAGCTAACCCTAACCCCATTTAAAAAGAAAAAAAATATACAAAACTGTGACTGTAACAGAGATTTGATGGTAGGTATGCAAGATTATTTTTGGTAGACTGAGACAACAATTATGTCCAAAAGTATTGCAATCATGCGTAGACCATAAACAGACAAAGACATAAGTACTTACTATATATTATAAAAACTTTCTAGGCAGACAGACTTGCTTGAAATAGTTTCCATCTCGGCTCAGTAATAACATGCCAGCATTTTAACAGTTTTTACCTGATAAAAGTTTGACCATTTGCCTTTTAAATTCAGCTTCAGAATGCTAACACTTGCTTAAAAGCTCTACACACAGACTAAGTTTCCAGGGTCCAGTGTTCACAATCTCTAGGGTTAGGTTTAAGTGTTTATAAACCTTGTTTAGTTAACAAAAAAACTATACAATATTTTAATTGAATCTGAGCCAAATCCATTTGCAAGGTAAACAGCACAGGTGTTAAGAAATTATTGAACTGGCATAGGAGCACAAGAATGGGTCAATTTTAATTCTTGGGAGATCCTGCCCTGTCACCCACCAAAGGATGGTAACAACTGCTTAAAGTGTTCCTTGTGTTATTTTTAGCTTACATTCCTTGTTCAACGCTCCTACAGCTACTCAATAAGAGATTTACTACCCAGAAGACATTAGCCCTGAGGGTATTGACCCAGCTTGACTCAATTTATAGCACAGTTATATAATGTAGTGGACTAAGTACCAGCAAGAAAATGCAATTTTCTAATGGTGCAAAACACTGTGAAAGACCAGTACAACACTGATGATAGCTGAATCACCACTGTAGCTTAAGTTTGTTTCATGTATTCTGTGCAATGGGGTAAAAGTTTATTTGCATGTATACAGAACAGCACTGGTTCCTGCATGCTATACAATATGATGGGCTCTTGCTGAGATGTCATAATTTAGCCCGACTCAATAGAGAGGATCAGTAGCATATATGGATTAGAGGGTTGTGTTTTTTTTACAAAATGAGTGACAAAGTCTTTCAGCACTGATGGGGCAGAGTTTAAAGTTGCAGAATGGTTCACCAGGTTATCACACATGCAGATGCAGATATCAATCCTCCTTGTCCTCCTCAATACCAACACCCACAAAGCATACACACAGTAGCCATGCACATAAACAAACATGCAAAGTGCCATCACATGACTGGGCAGGGCCTGTGGGTGTGGCTGGCTTACAGAGTGAGAGAATTCCCCTGCCCCTCTCCTTCTCTCCTCCCATCACTTAACAATACAGAGGAGAAACCTGAAAGAGAATGGGACCAATGTCTGGACACAGGTGAGTGTAATAGTGTTATGAGTGCATATACAATGAATCATTCCTGTGTCTTTGAATGTGACTGCGGGTAGAGATGCAGCCTTTTAAAAGCACTAATCCTTCTTACTCAAGAAACAGAGTAGCCTAAGCTTATTTGGTGCTCAGCATTACTGCCTGAACGACATGGCTGAAGACAGACAGGCTGAGCGGATCATGTACTGTGTATTTATTCACACAAATTTGTTGTGCATGTAGGATAAGTTTCTACCGAGTTTTTAACTGTTGGTTATTCGGTGAAGGCTAATAGTGGAATAAATTGTTCCTTTAGATAGTTTAAATTTAACGAGATAACTAGGCTAACTGCTTAAAATGCAAATAAAAATAGCGTTCTAATTGTTACTGATAATTCAGGTGTCCGGTGTGTATATCGGTATCCCTTTGTTCGGGTGTAGTAAAGGACTACAGGTTTAGTTTGGCTAGTGTACCAGCGTCTGTGCGCGCGCTTCAGCGGCCTGTGACACGCGCGTGTTGATGAGCGGAGACATGCAGCTGTTTTGTAGCACGCTCCGCTGAGCAGCTCTTTTTCAAACACACATCGGGGCGTTGGCTTTTAATCGAGCTATTTGAGAGACTGCGTCTAAGCAATGGCAGAGAACAACACAAGGTCAAAGGTGAGGACAGAGCGTAATGGAATCCCATGAAGGAGGTGAGGTGTCCTCACATGTACCCAGATAGGCAACCTTCAGTTCACGGCGGAGGTTGAGACGTGGGGAAACAGGGAATCACGGCAGTAATCGCAATTTAGATTTCAGGCTCTCTCCTTTTTATTTATTTTTCGTCATATTTCACTTAAGGGGTTCGTATGTGGGCCAATAGATTCTTAGAGAGCTTTATCATTGCTTTCATGTTTCCTGTTTCTTTACCTTGTAATTCTAAGAATGGCGGGGGGGGGAACCCAAACACACAAACGTTTTTTTTCAGTTCTTCACCTTTGAATGAGCAATTTCAGTCTTACAAGTTCATGTGACTGGATGTATAAATACTACAAAGTAAATGTGACAATAGAGTAATTCCATATGAGGTCAGTTGAATCTGAGAAAGTGTTCCACCTGACATCCTCAGAAACAGCTGGGGTTTCAACTTTAGTATACATAATGGAGCCATGTAAATGTGATACTATGGAAAAATGTCAAATCTACAGGCCCTTTAAGTCCATAGTAGTGGGTTACAGGAAATAACCACATGACAGTCTAAATACTATACAACCAGGAAATGAACACTGTCACAATAGAGACAGTGTTCATTTTTCATGGACTGACTCATAAACGTAGGTCACCATACAAGATAAACTTATTTCCCAGTATGTCGCTGGCAGTCAGTAAACTGAATAACAAACAGTAAAGACCATTGTCACAGTTTATGATATTTTATTGATAAGTCATAAATTCATAAAATACAAGAATAATTTAAAGATGATAATTAGCTGTTGCCAAATAGTGAAGTATGGTGGCCATCTGGTTTCTGTTAGTTTGTGGGAGGTCATGTTTTAATCATATTTAGGAATGTAAATGGCTTACAGGTCATTTGTCTGACACTGGGAACAACTTCAGATCTTGTGCGTCCCCGTGACTTCCTCTGAGGTTCACAGAGATGAGCGAGGAGGTGGGTCCACTGCAAAGAGACCATTTGCTGTCCGTGGTTCTGCCAGGTGGGCTGGAGAAGAGTGTCACAGTGCATGGAAGGTGGGTCATATCACAGTTTAAAAAAATAAATAACTGCTGCAACAGCAATGATTTTCACAAAGTGCAAAACATGTTAAGATAATCCTTAAATTCTCATCTTCACAGTAAACCACTGATGGACTTTATAGTGACTTTCTGTGCAAGTAACCATCTGAATCCTTCAGACTATACTGTTGATATTCTATCTCCCAACAAGAGCAACATAAGTTTCAAACCAAACTCTACTATTGGCTCGGTAGAAGCTGAGAAGATTGTGCTGAAGCCCAAAGGGATGGAGGAAAAGCTCAAGGGGCCATACGTGCCTGAGGTAAAAAAGGAGGGGGAAAGTTGTAAAGTAAACCGTTGCTTCAACACGCTTCATCACAATGAGTATATGTTAACGGTTGTTTCTCATTGCAGGCAACAATACGTCTGTTGATCAACTACAATAAATCCCATAAGACTGTGGTGCGAGTCGATCCCAAACTGCCGCTGCAGATGCTGCTGCCGTTGGTGTGTGACAAGTGTGAGTTTAAAGTAGAAACAACCATATTACTGAAAGACTCTCAGTCCAAAGAGCTGCTGGACCTGACTAAGAGCTTAAATGACCACGGACTCAGGGAAGTGTTTGCCAAAGACACAGGGGGTAAAGACCTCACTGACCATCATCAGCCCAAGACAGCAGAAACAGGTATGAAGGATGTGAAAGCTGCTAGTCAGCAGTCCTGTGATCTTATGTCCCTCTAAATATTTAAAAGACCTGTGATGTTTTTTACCACGATTTAATTCAGGTAATGTCACACTGGCTTGTGTATGTTATTTTGTTAGGAAAACCTCATTTCTATTGTCCCCCTGTTGGGTAATAATGTTAAAGCTGTACAGCATAAACACAGCAGGTACACATCAGAAACTTTTGTTTATGTTAACATAAATAGTTAAAGGCTGAAAGTGGGGGGAAATTAGATGTCAATTACTTTGAGTATGGTATCACTGTTTGTTCTGCCTCAAGTACACAGCAAAATCTCCAGTGTTAAATTAACACTAGAGAGTGTCTATATGGGTCCACTCCTCTGAGTGTTAAATACAACACTGAGTGTTAAATTAACACCTTTGACAGTGTTATATGTTTAAAAGTAACCTAGTCAGTTTTGAAGATTAACAAAGACTAACACTGAGCAGTGCTGATTTTCTAACACTGGAATATTTCTAACATTTTGAGTTATTTTCCAGTGTTAGAAAATCAGCACTGCTCAGTGTTAGTCTTTGTTAATCTTCAAAACTGACTAGGTTACTTTTAAACATATAACACTGTCAAAGGTGTTAATTTAACACTCAACAGTGTTGTATTTAACACTCAGAGGTGTGGACCCAGATTCAGCCAAATGAAGCCAGATTCAGCAAACAGTCTAAACAGGACGAGTCCATTCCAGGTTTCACTCCTGTGAAGCACAAACCTCTAAGTCTGCAGTAAACAAAGTCTAAACAAAATGGAACAATTAAAAACTGGAAAAACATGGCTTTGGCCTTTTCTGTTGAGGGCTGCAGATGGTGGCTCATAACTGGGTGTCAGCAGCACAAATCCCTGGAGCCAAGCCGCTTGTGTCAACAGTCCAAGGTTGCTGTTTGGGAAATGCAACATGGCACAAAGCAAGAGCCATCAAACTGGTTTTATGAACATGATCACTTGATATGAATTCAGTAGTTAAGCTTCATGACCACATGCACCTGACTGTCTCAGAGATATGACGTGCAGTCATCAGCAACAAGCAAGTTTGTCTAACATCATGTAGCATCCATGATGGCAAGAGCTGAGCCTGTTTGGAACCAAAAGAGTTGGCCTGACCCTGCAGTAATGTGGTGTTCCTAATAAAGTATTTAGTGAGTAATTCAGTACCATCAATTTGCACTGTAACCTTTGGAAGAAGAAGCCAAATGCAACATGTTGTATATGTTATGGGATCCATAGATAAGTTGTTTATTTCTTAAAAAAAACATCTTCCCATGATGCCATGTCTCACAAAACCTTGCTGTCTTAGTAGTCGTAGTCACATATCTTTTATTCCTGCAATACACCTGCTCCTGTGTAAATATTAACCTAATTCATCTGTTTTGGCAACTTTGTTTTCTGTCTGTAACAACTGTCACACCAGCAGAAGTCATCTCACTTCCACTGCAAGGTAACCAACCCAAACAATTTCATATAGTGGCTCGCCATTCAGGGTTTATACTGTATATCACTTACCAATCAGATCCTTTTCATTCCCTAGACCTGCCAAAAAAGGAGAAGAAATGGAAGGAAAAGAAAGGATTCTTCAGCTTATTTAGAAGAAGGAAGAAGAAACACGAAATGGTATATTGTCAGTCTGTGAGGACAACGATGTTTGCTTTATTCTTTATTGATCAACTTTTACTGATGACCAGCATTTACATTTCACGTGTAGCAGGGCGCAGTAAGTGCTCCTGCTTCTCCAGGACCCAGGAAACAAGCGGTACTCCGTATGAATTCGGAGAGCATTTCATCTTCCAACACCTTGCCTATAGAAAAGCCCAAGAAGAGGCAAGCCCCCCCGCCACCAGTTGCTGTTTCTCAGAGTGTCAGTAACTTCAGCACCTGCAATTTAGGAGGAGCACAGGTTAGTCGGTGGCAGGGATGAAAATGGAACACGACCAGAACATCCTGAAAAATCTTTTTGTAAAAATGAGAACACTGGTCAAACTGTGAAAGAATAAAGGAACCACTATATAAATGGAAATACTTGGGACATATGCCAATGATACCATTGTGTCTCTGTAGAGCTCTGAAGGATCTACCTTAAGAAGTACCAAGAGGAGGGCCCCACCACCTCCCTGTGCAAACACACTCCAGGAGCTGCTGACAGATACTAAAGGTAAAATCATGAATGCAAAATGGTGGCATTAATTGAGATAATGGAGCCAGTCTTTCACTTTAAACTGACAAATTATTGTCAGTCTCATTGCTTCATCTCTTATAGGGCAAGCTGTTTATGTTGCTACCTAGTGGTGACTGTCTGCAAGTAAACAAGTAAACTATGCTTGTGAAGTAATCCCTGTAAAATTGCCCTTTTGCAGTATTTCAGTAAAAGGTCATTTTTACTGAAATGCTGTCAAATTGGAAATCAAATGTGTTTAAACAGAGATGAATCCTCAAAACCTCAGAGGGGTTCAAGAAAGAAATGAAATTAAGATGAAAATTATCAAAGAAAATGCCTTCAAATGGGAGATTTGGCAGTTAAATCTGACAAAAAAAAACATAGCATTTATCGGTCCATACAGTTGAACCCTGTGTGAAATGACCCAGGGCCTTGTTCATAAGACATATTGGCTCCAGTCTGTCCTCAGCTTCAAGCTTTCATTCCCCTGTATTACTGTCTGAAATGTGTCCCCTGCCTGGGTCCAGGTTCTCTGTGGACATGCTTTCTTTTTAATGATCTGCTATAGATTTGGCTCTTGATTTCATTTTTAGTTAAAAACTGCTAATAATAACTAAGTGAGAATAGGGAAATTGATCACTTTTTTAAAAAAAAGCTTTCTTTCGGTGATCTAAATAACAGTGTAATTGTGAACAGCAGCCTCATTGTCTTGGTTCACTCCTTCGTTTTCTTTAAACCACAACACATGCCACACTGCTGAGCTAGTGTCAATGTGATGCTGAAAAAACAACTCCCAGCCAAAGGTAGATGGACATTAAACACACTCCTGATCTCCTACGCTTGCGTAAACATGATCCCCTACAATCTGATCTTTAACATAACAGGATTTTTGCATCCGTGGCAGAACATTTAACGGAGTCTCTTCAGTATGAGGTGGTTCTAAACATCTTGGATGTTAGTTAGGAAGCTATTAGACTGAAGCTTTGTCTCCTCCCTGCTTACAGACTCTGTGCCATCCCAAGGAGGTAATTGAGGGCTGCTGCTGGTGCTGCTGCTGCCACCACCCCTGTCACTTTTTGCTCTCCTCCTTCCATCACCCTATTGCTCCTCTCCATCTTCTTCCTGCGTTGGCCTCTTCTTCCTCCTTCCCGTCTTAGTGGCTTTTGTAGATCTTTTTGGTGGCTTATATGGACACACAGTGCCCTCTAAAACATTTGAGACAAAGACACAAATGTTGGTTTTATAAAAAGAATTAGACATTTTCAGAGGTTAATGTTAGCTAATGGGAGAATCTAACATAAATTGAGATATAAAGACCTTCACTGCAGCCACCTTCAGTTGCTGCCGTATTGAGTTTGATATTTAATCATGGAAAGGAATGCTGTTTTGGGTTCAGATCAGGTGACTGACTTGGCCATTGAAAGATTTGCCTTTACTTTTAGGAACTCTTGGGTTGCTTTGGGTTATTGTTGTTGCGTACTTTAGTTTTCCTTTGAACTAGTCAGTGCATTTATTCTTTTTAACACCAGAATATTGATTTAGCCACTTGTAGAGTTTCTGCTTTTTCTCTGATAGGTTTATTTAGATTTTTTTTATCCTAATGACAGTCTTCCTCACATCTCATATTTAAAATGAGATTAAAATTACAGTGAAAATCTATAAATTACACATTCAAAACTTAAGCTTCAGCTTCAGATGTTATGTTTACCTCATTTGTCATATCTACACTACATATCTACACAGCACAAAGGAAAAACAACAAATTGTGTTTTTTGTCCCAAAGATCATGGCGGGCACTGTATTCACGCCTTCTACATTTATAAGCTGTCCATTTGTGCTGTTCAGCTGTCTGCTTATACTACTAATCCATATTTCTCTGATAATTCTGTACTTTGCTTTTTCTAATTTGTGTGTGATTTCCTATTAATGGGTTAGACTAGAGTTAGTTATTGTGCCTTTTAAATGATAAAGAAGCCACCAAGAAGAGCATTTGGTTAAAATGAATTATTAATTCTGTTGATTCCAAAGTGACTTTTTAAAATCTTCCATGTTTAGTTCTTTCTTTGCTAAATAATATAGTTATGTGTTTTAAAGTATAATGTTAGTCCTTGAAGTTGATTCTTCTGCTTACATCTTAAGATAAATGTAACAGTTTTATGTGCACACTTTTCTAGATTATTTTATTATTAAAATGATTGATAATCATATCAATATTTTAATGTATATTTCTGTATACTATGTAAGCCTACATCTTAATGATATACCGTTGCCTCAGAAATAATTTAAATCCTCTTTACTTTTTGCACACAAATTAATAATGTAGCATTCTTTCCCCATCAATCTACATTGAAAAAGCCTAAATGCAAAACTGAAGAACTCAAGAATTGAAATCTTTACTCTATGAGATTATTTAGATCTTTAATTCGGTCTCCTCTTAGGTACGTTTCTACAAGACTTTGACGAGGTTATTCAAATCAAGGATGGAAAGCATCCTTGAAGCTCCATCTTTAGGTTCTTCTAAGGATGTTCAGACAACGCTTGGAGTTTACCAAAGGCCTTCTTGTTTGGTTTGCTCAGTCCTTGCTTTATCTGCTTCCAGATAAAGACCATTATTCTCCTGAACTGATACCAACTGTTGAGTGCCACAATATTAACCATTTATAGTCAATTTCTTCATTTAAAGTTATTCCTATGTGTGTACAAAAAAGTAAGGGTTTTTAATAATTTAGAAGTATCTGCACACAGATTTTTGGGTCCAAGACCTTTTAAAAATGAATAATTAAGATGAAAACTGTTGCTAAGTCTTTCCTGTTTCTTTAGAAACTGTCAAGTCCCTGAACACTCCGGAGGAACTAAAAGAAAGTGATGAGTCAGAGTGTGTAAACAGATCACCATCTTCACTGGCACGCCCTTTACAGCCAAAGTCAGGATCATCCTCCTTACAGCAATCACTGGCTCATCTCCACGAAGTGGCTGATCCCTATCTGCCTATGTTACGAGGCAAAGACTTCTCCAGCGCCCGCTGCAACCTTGCCAAAGTCCTGATGTCTTCTGTTTCTAGAGAAACACTGGTCAGACGTTTGAAGAACTCTGCCACTTTCCCCAAATTTCAAAATGGCTCCTCCTTTACCCCCATGACCCCAAGGTGTCCGAATAGTGAAGTTTTCTGCACAGATGTTGAATCCGCTTTCAAATCTAACCTTCCAACTGAGAGTGAATGGGAGTATCCAGCTGAGAAGAGGGGGATGACCACATTTAAAGTTATCCCTCTGAAGAAAACACAAGATCTTACCGGAGATCTTCCAGACCAGTGCTGTATATCACCTAAAGATACCCCAGAGAGCAAAACGTCTCATGAGGTTGGGAATAATCAAGTAGATACTGATGAGAAACGATATTCACCAGACACATCGGGGAGTGAAAATCCTGCACCCAGTCCGGATACCTCCTCTCAGCAGATTCAGCTTCCTGACAACCTGGCTTCTCCTCCACTTCTGCATGATTTAACTGATCAGAACTTACCCAGTCCACCTCTGTCGGAGGCTAGGGACACCTCTGAAAAGGAGAGGGAAGAGGTGGGCTATGAGGTCACATCAGAGGTGATTTCAGGGTGCAGTTATGGAGAGGTTAATACTGAAGATCACATCCACTCAGAACCTCAGAAGGAATTTGTCGATAATTCCAGCGCAGACACGTGCGCCGATGAGACGAAAGCTGAGGAGGAAGTGGTGCAAGAAGAAGAGGAGAAGGAGGAGGGCAGTTTCCCTCCACCTCCTCCACCTGTCTTTTTCAATGAAGACATAGCAATAATGGAGAATGAAAGAGAGGATACTACATCCCCCTCTTTGCTGCCCTCCCAAATATCAAGCCCTACAGTTGCCCTGAATGGGCAAATTAATGTATTCAGGGAGACCCTTCAAGACAAGCCTACTTCACCTAGGCCTGAACAGAACAGTCTGGAAAAGAAGAGTGCAGCCCCTTCCAGATTTGCTCAGGCAGTAGCAATAGCTGTCCAGAGATCTCAATGCAGTAAAGGTCCTCAAATTTCCAGTGGTGCACATGGTTTGCTTCCATCACCACCTCGGTCCACATATCAGTATGGTGAGTTCTGTACTCGACTGGTAGTTTAGTTAAGTCTCTTTACTGTGATGACTTACTTTAGAACTCACTAATAATTATATTCACATGTCTGACTGTCTTCCACTGCCTGTCTGCTTGCTAGAGGCCCTGTGACTTAGAAACATTTCTCTTATTCTTCTACAGGTGCCTGACCTGCTTCCTCTCAGATGTTTGAATGAAAGTCCTGGTTCACAGTTGGGCCTGACTGTGGACACCAGACTGAATAATTTCTAAGAACATCATCAGTTTTTATTCTTTTCTTTTTAAGGTTTGTGCTCACTGTCAAATGTCTGATTTGTTACAAAATGATTTATATACATGTTGAGCATAAACATTTTCTGTTATGAAGAAGGCCAAATTCATAGGACATGAGGGAAAATGTCCTGTGTGGGGTTTTTTTTTTTTTTTTTTTTAAACCATTTTCATTCGGCATGTGCCAACACAAACACAACTCTATGCGAGAGCTTCTTTTTTTGTGTGTCTTTAATTGCAATTATAGGCTTATTTTCTGCATGTTTGAAATTTATTTTCTCTTTCAGAATGCCTGTTTGTATGCTTCCAGATATCAATAATACTGTAAAAAAGAGCTGTCTCATATTCTGGTCTGGATTTTAGTCACCAGGTGGCAGAAGAGCTTAGCTTTTAAAATGCACGAGCCTGACACCATCTCTTTTTGAGTTTTTTTTTTCTTTTTTTTTATAAAATCGCTGCTTACAAAGACAAAATAGACAAAAAGCATTTTATATATTTAACTGAAATTATATGGAACATTATTCTAATACTCAGTTGGGGTTTTTTGTTTTGTTTTGTTTTTTTAGTGTCAGAGTTATTTTCCCGTAGGCTATTGCTGTTCAAAAATCCATACCCATTCAGGGACATGCCGTGAGTAAGAAATACATGTAATATTTATTAGAGATGAGATAATTTCTTGCATTTCCAGAAAAAAGAAAAGGGAAGAAAAAAGAATATCTTTAGTGTAAGCATGGGTTTTATGCCAAGCATTTCAGCACCTTCCTGAATAAACTCAGTCCACTTTGCTCACATGCACACACAGTTATGTCTTTAATGGACCCATACCTTGGGGCAATACTGCATAGCTATACTTGGGTGCCAAAAGAATCTGCACTACTATATGTATTGATCCAGCCCTGGCCTTAAAGGAACAGCAAGGAGCTATGCAAGACCTAGCCAGAACCGCCTGTGGCGAAAGCTTCTTGTTTGCCAGGCCTGGACTGAGTGGGCTCACTTGAAGACTTTCTTTCTCTTCGTCTCTCTCTCTCTCTGTGTCTCCCTCTCTTTATCTCTCTTTCTCTAACATTCCTTGCTCCACCTGAGAAGCGAGAGAGAGAGAGAGAGGAGCATGGGTTGCTGGTGGATGATGGGAGGTGACCATTGACCCTGTCGTGTTTCTGCGGCGCTCCTCCCAGAGGAGATGCCTGGCCCTCAAGGGCACAGCCATGTCACGCTGCCGTTGTCATGGAGAATGCCATTACCGCCCCTAAGGGAAAGAGCCATGTCTAACGTTTACCAAAAAAAAAAAAGTCTGCAGGAAAAGAAACACACATGCTGGAGAGAAGCTCTTTCTCCTGCCAAAAGCAATGATATCCAATGTAAGTGACAACTCTGGCATTATCCTTTTCCAAGCAGGGAAAGGTTGAATTTCAACCAGAGCACTAATATTCGTCATTATTCAGACACAACGAAGCTGGATTTATAACGTGGTATAACAAAAATACTACATGTCATTTCTGATCAAGCATACAACCGTGATGTTATTAGCACAGGTGAACGACAGAGAGGAAACAGACGCAAAGAGGTTTTACTGATTATTGTCTCTGGAGACGAGGTGAGTGAAATCCTGGAGGACACTTCAGTCACATGAGCACACACAGGTTCAAACACATTAATGAGGGGCCTTTGGGATGAATGCAAGATCACTCTCTGGATCGGTTTAGTTAAACACACCTGAACAAACAAGGAAAAGTGAGTGCATGTACAGAACACTGATGGACAACAAAGGAACCTACACGGCAAGACTCCACCGTACAACCTCAAAATCAAAGGAAAATCTCTCTCTTAATCACTCACACAACACACAAAATTCATAATTAAAAAATGAAAAAAGTCTTTGATGTTTGATTTCAGTGATCATGTTGATGTCAATATGAAAGCCACTAAACTGCTTACAGTTGTATTGCAGCTCTTTCCACCAAGATCTTCCTGAATTATAAAAAAAATATATTTAAATTATAAAAAAAAGTTATAAAAAATACTGGAAAAATTATGCAACGACGAAAAATAAATGATTTTTCTTTTAATAAAGAGAAAATGGGCAGTTAGAGTAGGTTCATAAAAATCCAAAATGTATCATGTATGATCAGGATTTTGAAAGCTATTCTGCACCAGCAGCATCACATCTAGTGAGGACTAAAACTAGTTTTAATAACAGAAGAGAATTTCAATTATCAGACAGAAATCTGTTAATTTTCCTGGCATTTCTCACCACTTTTTTTTTTTTTAAAGAAAAAATGCCTCTGATGCCAGAAAAAAAAGATCCAATAAACAAAACAGGTTTTAAAAACTAAGAAATAACACAAAAAGCTCCAGGATTCACAAAGACGGGCTCTGACATGGGTTTTAATTAGTGGCATGATGTCCTCTGGTTACCTGGACTGGCTTATGTGGCTGTCGTGTGATTGTTGGGGGTTCTTTTTCATGGTCTTTGCCTTACAATATAAAATGGCTTGAGGCAACTGATGAGGTGAATTGGTGCTTTTGATTTCAGTTATTCAAAAAAAAAAAAGTGTTCAGTTTCATAAAGCACGCATGTCCCCTGATTGGAGCATCTTTAAATACACTTACATTTGCATTAAATCCTGTAAGTTGATGAATTCTGCTTTAGTTGAAGATGTATTGTACGCCCTGAATGCATTTAGCACTCCACTGAGAAAAATTTAAATTCTGCCATTTTTATACAACACAAAATAAGTGTAAACATCTGACTTGGCCCACATACTGCGCTGTGAGTACAACTAAAAAACTCCAGCTGGAATCAATAACATAATAGCTGGCCCACACAAATCGAGGTAATGCTATTTATCATTTATTTATTCCTTCATCTCTTCATTCATCTCTATTTAGTTCTCCATCTGATGTATCTGCCTCGTGGTTTAAAGATGCCCACGAGCTGGTAAAAGTCGGAATCTGATTATAAAACAGTGAGCAGGCCCGAGGCTTGCTTTGCTGGATCCGCTGCGTCTGGATGTGTGTAAGGGGTGCACATGTGCATTGTAGACTACTAATATATGTGTGTTTACATGGCACCTCCATGCTTTGGTAGAAATAATCAATAGATGAATCACCCAAAGCAGTGGAGCTCTCCCCAGGCAGTGTGGTGCAGCTTAATGCTATTCTTTCCATTCACCTTGGGAACGGCATCCATCAGGCCTCCCCCCAAAGTGAGGTACACTTGCCTAAAACATCACCAGTGCTTGAGGGGCTGCTTGGAAAATGATGCAGGGAGAGCGCAGTTGACCTCTCACCTCCTCCATGTTTTCGCTCGCTTCCCTCCTCTTTGGCGGAGCGGCAAATCACAGAGTTCCTGCCTCATTGGCATTGTCAGGCGCTTACAGTAGTGTTTCTCTGTATTGTGCTGGTGGTTAACTGGTTCAAATGTTATGGAAATGATATTTACCTCTTCTTTGATCCTGTAAACTCCAAACAGGCAGGCTGTCCCCCCCCCTCTCCCCCCCCGTTTGAGGGAAGAAGGACTTACAGTAAAAGCAACGCTATAAATACAAACGAGAGGGAGAAAAATAGACGTCTGAAACGGAGCTCGGCGGTATTAAAATCAATCAAATATCTGAAATTTTCTACTTGAGCTGATGCCTTTTTAAAATCACGATCCACTGTTGCTTGTAGGACACAGCAACAATTTTTGACACAAACCACAAAGTCAAACCAATTTGATTAATGATGCTTGACAGCTCTCTATAAAACAAACTAGAAGCAAAAGCAGAAGCAGCGTTTGACGGCTCAACATACAGTGGTCGGCCCCTATTGCTTTGTGATAGATAGTGGACAAGCTCCATCTCGCCGTCATTTTTCTTCATTCACCTCTTATCGCTGAGACCTGAGAGAGGGAGAAAAAATGCAGTTTTCTTCTGTGATGAATGGTCCACATGTCTGATTCAGCGCGGTGACAAACTGACACAATCACAGCCGATAATATGTCACCGGTGGCTGTTTCTTTGATCAAAACACAAGCCCCTTGGCCCCTGATTCTACTTAGTGAAACAAATGCAAAAACAATGCATTTCCTCCTCCTGATGATCACCAGTGTAGTGCATCCTTCATTCTAATCAGTCTAATAATCACACCTCTTAGCCGTGAGCTCACTGAGAATGTGCTGTGAGGCTTGTAATGCCCATGCAGTGCTTATTCAAAACCAAAAGGGGGCACAGTAATCCCTGATTCAGATTAGTACCATTAAGATGGATCCGAGGAACGCGCTGACTTTGATGGTTGTATTGAGACGTAAACCCAGGAGAGTCACAGATGATTGGTGAAGTTGATGGATATTTGATTTTCACTTTGACAGAATAAAACAACTCAAACTGCTGGAAACTATCTCCATTATGAATCTCATTATTATTATTATTATTATTTTTACCTAACTTGGTAGAACTCTGCTCATTTTATTTTTAATAAGTAGAAATCAAGTGTTTCATTTTGACATGCATCTCAGTGAAATAGCTCGTGTATGGAGGAACCCTGCCATATTTTTGAGGAAAGGGATATTACATTTTTTTAAGTACTCTGAACCTACCGATACACTTCTGAGAAGTAAAAGCAGATTCTGTATAACATATTTTACAGCAGAGTATTGAGACTATTATGTGAGGAAATTGATTTTTATAGTTGTGCCTTCGGCAGACTTATTACACCCACATGTAGGATTTAATATTATGTCCTCTACATCACCATGCGATCTGGAAAAAAATGAGGTCTTTACAGTCAAGTTTGAGGCTAACATCGAAACTTAAATTCAAAAGAAACTCATGTAATTAATATGAGCGAAACTTTACCTGTTAACATCCATCAGATCAATGGCGATCCACTGAGGAATCGAAAAAGAGGAAAGGTTTGGTAAACTTCCTGTTTTAACAGAATTTCCCCAGTTTGGAACACCCAGAGCTTTTAATAAATAAATTGGATCTCCCAGTTTCTGATCTTTTGCTGATTTACAGTAGCATGTGGTTAAAAAAAACCCCAACCCCAATTCAGGTGGGTGGCCAGTGATCTGGTAGATGTTTAGATTATAAGGAACAAGTTAATACATAATCACATGTTCCCAGCAATGCTTGTCCATCCATGCATGCATAGAGACTATCTTAGCAACAGCCTGTA